GAACTAGAGTCCAAAAGCTGGAAAGTCTACAATTCTAATAATCCCTCAAATCATCCAGATTTACTTTTTTTTCCTGCTTTTTGTTTGTTTTAATCCTATAGATTACATACACAGTACCCATGAAGGAATATTGGTTTGGTCTGGGACCACTGTGGACTCATTAATACAGAACTCCAAGAAATCATTGGTCTTAGAACAGTGAAATTACAGTTTGGATTTTCATATGCTTTCCTAACTTTTCTGAATTGAAAATAAAAAGGCTCCTGCAGAGCCATTTACAATCAAATCTGCAGATGCTGAAGTTTTGGTGGTGGGTGAACACAGAGCATTAATCTTTAATGTTTTTAGCAAGAAAAACTGTCCATCAAGGTCTTAGAACAAATTGAGTCCTGATTATGGGGTGTGTGTGTCTATCGGCTGTACTGAGATAGCAATGAAGGGATGTCGGGGCTGTTGCCCACTCTGGCACTCTGAGTGCAGAAGGGGAGGGGGCCCGCAAGAGAGCTTAAAAATACCTTGCCCCTATAGGCTTTTGCTTAAAAGCTCCTCTAGATCATAGATCCCCTGGCCTTGGGAGGTAGCTGCCACCACCAAGTCAAACAAAAGAAACCTCTTTCTTCTTGAACCTAGGAAGAAGCACTTGGACTTCTTCCAGAGGGGTACCCCAAGCTCTTATACCACATATGAGCTTGGACAAAAGAGAAAACAAATGGCAGTCTCTGGTAGCTGACCTTTCAGTCTAGGCAGACAACACACACAGACCTCCTGTTTCTTCTCAGTCAAACACCACATATTTTTAAGAGATGAAAAGTTTATTTAAAAACTGCCAACATTTAGCAAAAAACAATTTTACACTATTTTCCATTTTCTACAGAAATACAGTAACTTACAGCTGTGCTTAGTATATTCTCTCACTAGTACATATAAAAACAAATCTACAGATAAATAAGTGGAAAATTCATTCTGCCAGCCACCACCACTAAAATTGTACCTGTAATTTTGGAAGACATCTGCATAGGATGGTTAGAATTCCATGGATTTTTGTACTACTAGGATAATGTAAAAAAATATAATTAGCATGCAATATAAAATATCTGAGATAAACAAGGTCTAATTCAGTGTGCACAACTGGAAAACAATGTAAGGATGCTGTCTTATGTTTCTAACCATACATCATTTTACATGGTGCAGAATTTCAACTTTCCTTCGCAATAAAGATCAATATATAAAGGATCTGAATGTATAAGGAATTACAATTTATATCCAACAAGGTGTTCTTACATGTAGATCAGTGGAAGGTGTGTTGGGGCTAACAGCATTCAAAAAACCTATCCTTTACTCGATTCCTACAGTATGATTCAAAAAGTTCTCAAACTTTAAGTAACTACATTTATAGAAGAAAAATTACCACTGTTACCCAATTGAGTGACTGAGATGACAAGTACAATGATATTTGTACAGTTTATTATTGCACCATAAAATAAAATATTTACAGTGCACATTAAGAAAGATAAAACTAGAGCTGCTCAGTATTTGCTAAAGTCCCCAGCAGCCAACATAAATTAATGGGTATCTAATGCCCAGGATCCCTCTATACATCCAACCTCCCACAACATGCATTTAACATTGAACTTAGATGTTAAGCTTTATGCAGTTCATCAAAAATACTATCTTAAAACTAGGTTTAAGACTTGTACTGCATCTTATTCGAAGATTCACACATATGCATAAACCTTATGAAACCCTTCCCACCACATTTCCATTTAACGCTGATGTCCAAGGTAAACTGCTGTATGTCTAGAAGCAGAATGCAACGTCAGAATTTCCTTAAAGAAAAAGGCTGGCAAAATGCCAGATTAAACTAGCAGTTACTGTCCTAAAAACACTCAATGTTTTTAGCTCAGATTTTAAAAAGTACTCTTCTTTCCCTCATGGTAATCCCAAGGCAGTTGTGAAAAACCCTCTCTGCTATTCAAAATTGAAACAAAATTAAGTTGCTTTTCCAGTTGTTGCATACAAGATGCATGCAATACCCCAAATCCCTCTCTAGTAGTCTTTTAAGATTAAAAAGAATTAGCAACCTTGGTTTTTTTTCCTTCAGGATCATACAAACTGATAAATACCACACCCGTAACAATACTGCTTTCCATGAGAACCTTGTTTATTATCATGCATAAAACAATTCACTTAAGATAACTGAGCCATTTATAATTCATCACACTAAGCATTTTACTGTCAAACTAGTAGTAGTGGTTTATCAGTCATCTCCAGTATGGGCTCAACCTAGCACCCCTTAAAGTCAGTAAGAGTTTTGCCATTGGCTTTAAACAGGAATGGGAACAAGCCCTATCTGCAGTATCAGATTAAGAGCTAGATCCTGCAACCCACATTCACAAGTGAAGTTTACAGGATCAGGCCTAATATTGCTTTTATTCAGTCACTGTATACCCTTAAAAATTTCAAGCTTAATAATGAACGTGGAAGTTACATGAACCAATACTACACTTATACATTTACAGGTTTTTTTCAGAGCCTCGCACTTTCTCTTCTCAGCAGCTAATGATAGAAAGTCTCAGATTCTTAGAAGGTGCTCAACATATTTTTTTTAGACCAGGCCCTTTAAAAAGCTCAGTATTTAAAAATGGAGGCATCCAAAATTATTGGCACTTTTGAAAACGTTGTTCAAATATGATTTTTATAAAAGCACCCATTGGGAATACCAAAAACTAAGAAGTATAGCACGGATACTGGTTTCATGATTCCATTCAATCATTACTCACAATAACTACCTAGAATAGTGATAGAAATGTAGCCGTGTTAATAACTACCTAGTTGCCTTTCCTCCACAAGAGGAAGCAGAGAAGAATATGCAACCAACAGATTTTGAGGCACCTCATTCACATGACTCTCTTGAAATGTTCTCCAAGGGTGCTTTTTGGAATTCCAAATCAATAGATAGGGCGCAATGGACATAGTCCACCAGATTCTCCCACCAAAACCTCAGAACCCAGTCTGCAGTAATTTAGGCTGTTTGCCCTCTCACAGTCTGAAATGGTCTCCTAGGTCATCCAAAGTTAGCAGTGCTCTTGGAAAAATAGCTCCTGTAGAAGCTGTGCTGTTCAAAGGCTTATGGAAGTGAGATGGGCCAGACTAAAGTGGCAAAAAAGGGGCATCTCTGAGAATGCCCCTTGCCCTCAGCAATTTTTGAGTTTGACAGAGATCTTGGAAGATTTACTAATTAAGAGGTGGTATGACCAAACTCCCAGTTTCTTCTACAGGGCAGTAAAACAGCCCCTTTGGAAGAACTGCCATTCAAAAAGCCTCCAGTATCTTATCCAGGAATAACCCAAATGTAGGAGAGCGTGTCCTTCATTACAAGAAGGGATTTATACTGGGCACTAGTCGTTCCCTGCCCCCCACTGCTGCCTCTATTAGAGGCAGCAAGTGTGGGGAGGAGAGAGCAGAAGCTAGTGCTGGGGGGAACCAGTTTAAAAGTCGGTTCCTCCAGCACTGTTTCTGCAGGGCTTAGAGGGGTAGCAGGGACTGGGTGCAAGCTGGGAATCAGTTGATTCCCAGCTCATACCCAGTCCCCACTGGCTCTTAATATATTTAAATATCAGAAGCGCAGAAGGGGGGGTACCCTGTGAGAACTGGGACAGCTGACTCCCGGCACCCTCTGTTGCACTCCAGCCTTCTTATATTTAAGGCTGGTGGCACAGCGGGGGGAGAAGGAAGGGATATTCAGCTATCCTGGCTTGCACTGGATCCCTCCTGCTGCGCTTCAGCCTTTTAAATGTATTAACAGCCTAATGGCTCTTAATACATTTAAAAGGCAGAGCTGAAGCAGGGTTAGATCCCAGGGCCAGAAGCTAACCCTGCTGCAGCTCTCCCGCTTATCAACTAATTGATAAAAAATCCATTGACAAGTCAATTAGTTGATTAAACTAAATTTAACATTCCTACTGGGCACAAAAACTTTCTCTTCTTAATTATTGTAGTGTACATGTCATGAACTTTTTACTTACAACTGACTTACTTCTGACTGTGTTCAAGGAATCTCTCTCTTTACTGACCTACAGTGCTATTCTCTTAAAGGAATTTATCTTGAGTTAAAAAGTTCTTTACATTTACTATTCTGTGGCAAACCAACAATTTACCAGCACTGTAATATTTCCATTGTCATACTATTTACACTGCTTTGTCACCATATTATTCCCAATGCCATCAACCTTACAATTTTTAATCTAATTTATCTGCACTAAACAACTTGCAAAGCATTTAAGACAATGATAGTTGTGTATCCAACAAATATGAAAGTCTGATAAAATGCAATCTTATGGGTAGAAGTTGCTTACATCAAAGAGTATTTTTAGTGATAGGACAGCTACCGTATTTTCCGGCGTATAAGACGACTTTTTATGCTAAAAAACATCTCCCAAAAATCGGGGGTCGTCTTATACGCTGGGGCTTTTCTTGCCCTGAAGGACACAGACTGGGGGACCTCGCAGTCCCGCCGCCCGTGTACTCCGGGGCGAGAAAAGCTGCTCC